GGTGTGGGTGTGGGTGTGGGTGTGGGTGTGGGTGTGGGTGTGGGTCTTCTATTCTCTAACACCCACACCCACACCCTATCTAGATTGCTCTAAAAGTTTAAACTATTCTATGTTTCACTTTTCGTATATTGCTTTATATTCGATAAAAATTGACTTCAAAGGATGTAGAGGGTAGATGTGGATGAAAAGAAGATTACAGCCATATTTGCATCCAAATCAACACCCACACTTAGAGACCTACGCTAATAAAAAAGATACACCACTGACCAAAAGTGTCCCTCCCATCAGATCTTAGTTCCTATGAGAGGTAAACGTCTGAAAATTGGTCTATAGGTAGTTCCCAGTAGACATGTAGCAAATCCGAACTCAACTTCGAGTTTTGATACCAAGCTTTATGAGATTGAGCTCGATTTGAACTCGAACTTGAAAACTCGATTGAGCTCGAGCTCGATCCAGCTCAAACTTCAAAAGCTCGAACTTGAGTCGAGTTTGAGTTCCATGGATCAAGGTTGGATCGAGCTCAGTGATGCCGGTGGATGTGGGTGTCGGCGTATGTGAGGCTCAACCAAACGTAATTGATGTGCAGGAATCTGAATCTGCAATTAGTTTTTGGGAATTTTGAACTTGATTTTTCCCATAAAAGAAAGGCTTTTTCAAGAAAATAACGTTTTTTTATAAGGCTTAATCGAAGGTAATTGAGGTCGAAGAATCTGAATCTGCAATAAGTTTTTGGGTGTGGGTCTTCATCTTGACTTCAACAATACCCACACCCCACACACCCAGACCCATACCTACACCCACATCCCACACATCGAGACGCAGACTCACATCCAAAATCCACACCCCACACACCCAGACTCACACCCAACACGTCCACATCCAGACTCACACCCCACACGTCCACATCCAGGCCCACACCCACATCCTGGGTGTTGGTGTGGGTGAGGGTGTGAGATGGGTGTGGGGTGCAGGTGGGTGTGTGTGTGAGTGTCTATTTGGGTGTGGGTGTGGATGTGAGGGTCAGTGCATATGCCAGCAGGAAAGCTGCAAAACTTACAACCATACTCACAGCCATAGTCACTCCCACAACCATACTCACACCCACATTTCACATACTCGTACCCCACACCCAAATCCTCAAACTCTGCCAACAGCATTTTTCGAGAAGCCTTGTTTCGTGCGAGAGTATTTATTCTTGTTTCATGATTAATCCAATCTCTCAAGAATCTACAAATGATAGATTATAAAATTTACCATGAAAATGACCACCATTAGTATTGGCAAGTGAATTATCATAGATGATAATCCACTGGCCGAATTGCATAAGTTTGTATTACAGCAACAAGCTGTTCCATTGCTAACTGGATCCACTGTACACGCGACTTCAGTGCAATTGCGTAATCCCGGCTGAGGTCCCAACCAGGAGCCGCGGACAACGAAGTCTCGCCCATCTCTCTTTTCAAACGCTTTCACACACCAGCCAGACGGCGCGTATATCGTTGGGGTGCTACCGTATACCCGTGGGCAATCCAAACACGAGTAACAGTCAATTGAAACGCTCCTTTGTGCGATAATTGGAACGATAAAGAAGCCGATGATAGTGATATACTTTATATTCATATTGTGAAGGTTAACTTGAGTAGAAATATTTATCTAAAATAAGCATGTCTTTGCATTCATGGCAATTAATATGAAGAAAGTAGAAAAAGCTGTTAAAGCAATCAATGTAAGACTAAAAATGTGAGATACGATCTAGCTGTTATTGTTAATCATCTGAAAATGTTTTATTTTATGTACATTCGACACATTTCTTCATCATCATTCACTTTACTCTAGAGAACCGCAATAAGAAAGCATTTTATTTATTCTAAGTATGTATTAGTGAAACATGGTTACTGGTAGCTCCGAGAGGCCATCTGCCACGATCTGGGAGGCGATAACGAGAACACTGAAAAAGAGTACCGTACTTAACTTAAAAAAGGTTTCGATTTTTTCAATGAAATCGACATCTTTTAAAGCTTCTTAAAATTATGGCTTCGTAGTCAACATTTCATAGCAATTCCAATGCAACATCAATCGATCTATATCGAAATCAACGTAGCCATATAGATCAATAGATTAATTACTGTAACACGTGGTTACACTACCCAGTCAGATAAGAGTTGAAAAAAACAGTGCTTTACATGTAAATGAAGCATATCCATGACTTTGAAATGAATTTCATTTTCTATTTAAATTATCCGAATAAGTTACTCACCGGAGTCCAATGATTCTCACTAAAATAGTCGTGAAAACTTCGAAGGTACGTAGTTGTCGATTTAAGATTATATTCGGTGTTTGACGCTCGTTGTTCTTTTTCTTTAAATACTTCGTGTGTTACTTTTCTTATCTTATCTTTTTTTTGTTTGTGTGAATATTTTTCAACTACGCATTTTTTTTGAGTGCACTATGATTAAACACAGCCAAGGGAAAAAACCATTGTCATATAAGAAAGATCATTTCGAATAGAATAGACTCAACAATATATATTTCTCTATAAAGTTAGATCGTGGACATCATTCAATAACGTTCCATGAAAAACAGAGATTATCTTTATTTACTATTTTTTCGTGAACATAATTATTGACAGTGAAAAAAGTGCCGGTATTCTACGGAAAGCTTTGTATTTTATTTAATAGTTCATCGGAGGCGTAAACGTAAATACATCTTACAGAATTCAAGCAATTTCAACATTTTGAGTAAGAGAGAGAGTATGGGTATGGATATGGATTTGGGGTATTGCTTTGGGTGTGAGTGTGAGCGTCTTCTGCTCTTACGCCTTCACCCACCCACCCACCTACGTCCACTGACACTCATACCCTCTATAGCTCTTTCTGTCCTTGAACTATTGCAAAAACATCCACAGCCATTCTTTTCAATAGGCAATAGCACTCGAAAAAATTCGAATAAACACTTTCATTGATCCAGTCATTTTGTTAATTAAGACAGTTTTCACAGTTCGAGTAAAATTCGTAGCGTTTGATTGGAAAATCCACTAACTGATTACAGAAGATGCTAAGATCGTTCCCTAGCTCGATAACTTGACATTGTAGACAGATGAAATGATAGTGTCTTTAATCTTTGTTCTATTTTTGAATCAAAATTACCCTTTACTTTCATCTTCAACTTGAATCTTCCTTTTTTTTAAACTGTATATGTTACAGATTTTTACATAAATAATAGCTACATCTTTTCTCAATTAAACTTTTACAGAAGAGATGAAAAAATTCTTACTTGTTTGATTTCTGACCAGTAGTAATTAATTTCATGGGAGGCGAGGTGTGAGCGAAGACCTGAGTTACATTGAAAAAAGCATATTTTATCAAAATTGCATGCGTAGAAAATCTTTTTACTATATGAAGGTGTTGAACATAATCCTCAACTATAACTTGACTCGGCAAGATCACTTTGTATAACGATGGAAATGAAACAAACGTTAGACGTTATAGAAAAAAATTTCTTCATTTTCTCCATCCATAGCAATAAAAAGTTTGGTTACTACTCAGCGTCATTTTTTCGAGTGAATTTTTTCTTATTAACATATCCATGATGTCGTCCTTGAAAGCCTATATCTTTACATTCAATCTATTTCATTCTGCAGCCGATGTGAAGAGGGACTACAGAATGCCTACCAAGCAGAATTCAGAATTTAAAATAGAATTTTGTTACGACTATCAGAATATAAAATGTTAATAGCTATACTACAATGGCAGATGTCTAGGAGAAAAATAAAATTCTTATGAAGATTATACAATACTGAATTTTTTACTTCTTGTGACTTTCGATGATAAATATCATTCAGAAAAATAAATGATATGATAACTGGTTATCTGGATCAGTGCTCTAACCATTGAGCTATCGAAACACGACTAGCATATCATTCATTTTTCTGAATGATATTAAATCATCGAAATTTTAACGTCGACACGATGTGTACAATGCACCTGGATGTAGCTACACTATTTATTACCAAGTGAAAATGATGGTGAATTTTATTCTCCTCTTATTTATTGAAATCATTTTATAAATTATTCCAATAAGAAAAATAATGAAACAGGAAAATTACTCATGTATGACGAAGTTGTTATTAAATATTTTTATCGTCGGCATTTTTTCTTCTTCAATTCTCTGTATATTATTCATTAGCGACATCACGAGTATTATGAATTGCATTGACTCTGCTGCCATTAATCTATATCATGAAATAGAATTACCTAGCGTCATCTATTTGTTTTCAGAAAATAACCAGCATAATATTTAGCAGAAATCATTAGTTTTATTATGCTGATTCTAAAAATATATAGATCTTTTTATTCGATTCATCAGGAAAATATATATATATATATATATTCACACAGTGCATTTAGAAATACCCACTAAAAATATAAGTGCAACCATTTCATCAAAGAGTAGATCCTTATCTTCATTTAAACCATTACTGAATGTTCTTCAAAAATATTACTAAATGAAAACTGAATCAAGTACTACAACATTAGAAGGATTAAAGTATGAATTGTTTTTGAGAATTTAATATGATATCAAAATTTTAAAATGTACTTTCTTTTCATTTAAAGTGAAACACCACCATTTGGATCATATTTAAAGAGATCATATATACGAATCGGTATTCTTCTCGGTATTTTTATTATTTCTACAAAGGTGTTAGATTTTCTCTTTGCTCTTCAAAACAGTACCAAATCAATAGATGGTATTGATTGCATAATATATATATCGAAATATTTTATTTAATTTAGGTAATAATGATTTATGTTGGAGTCCATATTGTATTAAAGCAGGTAAATGTTTTATTGAATGACAAACAAAGAATACACTGTTATATTTTTTCCCTACAGCTAATCATCTAATCAACAGTATTGATCAATCAGCTGATCCATGTGACAATTTTTATCAATTTGCTTGTGGAACATGGCTCAAAAATAATGAAACATCTGAGAATGGTAAATCAAACTGTTTTTTATAGTAAAAAAAAATGTATTGCAAAATAGATAGAATAAAACAATAGCCCTGTTGTGATCAACAATAGCAACTGTATTGTGTTTCATATTTTGATACTAACAGTTTTTCATTGAATATGATTGTATTTTTAATTATTTATAACTAATTTAGAATATAAATGGAAATTTCCCAATATAATACTTGATGAAAACATTGTTGGTAGGTTCTTATAAATTTGTTGTTCTCTAATATAGTTATAATTTTTATGTAGATTTACTATCGACAAATGAAACAGTTAAACTTCAATCTGTAATGAATGCTCGTATTTTATATAGTTCATGTATTAATCAAACAAATATTGAAATAGAAGGAATTGATCCTGTTTTATCATTAATTAATACTCAGTTTGGTGGTTGGCCTATGTTACAAGGTTTATCACGGAATAGTTCAACGTTTAATTTAACAAATCTATTATTTAAACTTCATCAATATAATTATGATTTTATTTTCTCGATATCTAGTGAAATTGATGAGAAAAATTCATCAGCAACTACTATTTTAGTAAGTCCGATTGATTTTATTTTAATAGGAATTTATTGTAAACATAATATTACTTTAGATTCGTCAAGGTACTCTTGGATTACTACAACGTCAATATTATGTAAATGAAACCAATATTACAATTGCTTATCGACAATTTATGTATAGCATAGCCAAAACATTGACCAATGATACTTCAATGATCGATCAAGATATCAAAGAAATATTCGATTTTGAAAAGAATATTTCAAAAGTTAGACTTCATCATGTTATCTATATTTTATGTTTTCTTTTCTATTTAGTATCATTGGACTAATAATGAACAACGAGTTCGATATAATAAAACAATTCGAACAACAATTTCTAATCTTTCTCATACATTAAAAACTAGTGTAAGTCTTTTTATCTTATATTCTTTCTTGTTCTTATGGATTATTCTTCAGTTTGATTTTACTACTTATCTTCATCACTTATATTTGTTTGGCAAGGTAATTCTAAATGAATTCGATCTTGTAACAATAAAAGAATTCGATTTTTTGATTAATGTTGTATCTATTATTGATAAAACTTCATCACGTATTATTCAAAATTATTTTATATAGCGTTTTATAATGAGTCAATCGGAATATATGCCAAAATCTATTCGTAATATTAAAGAACAATTTGATCTAATTTTTCAAGATACTTCTACTGAAGAACTAAGAACAATAAAATGTGCTGTTTATGTTAATAAGAATATGGGTTTTGTAGTTTCGAAACTTTATATTAAAAATTATTTTGATGAAAATGCTCATAATCAGGTACTAAAAATAAAATATATCTAAATCTTAAATCTCATAATGTTACTATAGTCGTTAAAAATACTTGAAAATATTCAAAATACATTTATGGATCTTATCAATCAATCTTATTGGATGGATGATAAATCAAAAATGAAAGCAATAGAAAAAGTAAATATTTTATCATAGTAAATAAAAGAGAAAGACAACAAATAATATTTCAGGCTAAAACTATCGATAAAAAAATTGCTTATCCAGATTATTTAGTCAGTGATAATAATACAAAACTCGAAAATGATTATTCAGCAGTATGATTTTAAATATAATATTGAAATATATGTTTTGAATATAATTAATTTTATGATTTAGTATGTTTTCAATTCATCTTATATTCATAATAGTTTCAAAATTCATCAAATAAAAGCTATAGAAAACTTTCAATTTCTTCGAAAACCTGTTCTTCGAAAACTATGGCCATCTATTTCACCAACTACTATTAATGCATATTATGATCCATCTCAAAATCAGATTAGTATGTAGACATTTTTCATGATTGATAAGTACTGATTGTTATTTGTAGTTTTTCCGGCTGGCATTCTTCAAATGCCATTCTTCCATAAAGATGCTCCAAAGTAAAAACTAAATGATTTATTATAAAAAAAAATCTTCATTTATTCTTTTAAGATACCTTAATTATGGTGGTATGTATTATTCAATATTGATGAAATAAATAGAAATAATTAATTAAGGCATTGGAACGATTATTGGACATGAAATTACACATGGATTTGATGATACAGGTCGTCAATTTGATAAAGATGGAAATCGAATATCTTGGTGGACTAATGAAACAATTGAAAAATTTAATAATCGTAAACAATGTTTTATTGAACAATATAGTAATTTTAGTGTACCAGAAATTAATATGAATGTTCATATTATTTTAGAATGAAATTTTCTATTATTATTTATTTTGATATTTAGAGCAATGGTAATCAAACACAAGATGAAGATATTGCTGATAATGGTGGACTTAAAGCTGCTTTTTATGTAAGTAGTTTATTTAATTTAAATATAATAATGTAATATATACTTGTAAAAAAAAACAAAGAAATTAATATAATGTAATTTAATATATGGATTTTTATTCAAAATAAATATTCTCTTTCATAGGCATATCAAAAATGGGCTAAAAATAATGTAAATGTTGATAAAAAATTACCAGGTCTAACACAATATTCAACTGAACAAATGTTTTTTATCCATTTTGCTCATATTTGGTGTACTAGAATAAGTATTTCACGTGCATTCAATAGGATTCTAACTGATGTTCATTCACTTGAACATTTTAGGTAATTTTATGTTTTATTCTTTTATTATCAAAGATATTATTATTTAATTCTATTTCAGAATAATTGGTTCTACATCAAATTTTGACGAGTTTGATCGAGTATTTGGTTGTAAATTAGGTCAAAGAAATAGTCGAATGAAAAAATGTGTTGTTTGGTAGTTATATAATTTTTTGTTTTCTATATTTAAACTCATTCATGAAACAATAATTAAAAATTGCTTGCCTTTTTTTTTTTGCTTTAATAAATTTTATACTTTGTGAAATGTAGGCTGAAATATGAAAATATTTATTTCGCATTATTATTTAACTTGAAATACAACTAATTATATAACATTGGTTTCATCTTGTTTTTATGATATATTGAAATAAGACCGAAATTGAATGATAATGTTATTAATTGTGTTCTCTTCTTATTCATATTCTTATTATAACATTGCCAATATTGAATAAAGTCAGAGTTCAAAGGAACGCACATTTCAAACTATTCAATATCGTTCATGTTACATTTTCTCACAGTCATAGTTAATTCGAATAGATAATATTTTAGTAAACCATGCTATTTGGCGCGATTTTCAATGTATAATCAAATGAATATATATTACAATTAGGAAACATAGATAGATATTTCATTTGAATATTTTCACATTAGTTAGCAGTACACAGCTCAAAATGACAATTGTTTGTTTTTAATCGAACCGAATTTCAACATTATTGATACATAAAATGAGTTACATTAATTTCTTTTTTTGTTCTATTCTTTGCGTTATTTGTGACTATTTATAATGAAATCGATTCTTGACCAGTATTATGATGTCACGCATTCAATCAGTTTTGTTCGCTGTGATACCTCAAGCAACATCCTGATCGAGTAGGATTATCATAGAACAAAGAATATTAAGAATGAAACGTCAGATAACAATGAATATATGCACATCAGTTGAAATATAAATAAAAGAATGTAATATGGTATTGATGCTTATGTTTTAATCTTACTCACGTAAACATTGAGAATATCTATGTACATGATAAAAACATATATGTAATTAAAGTTACGAACAAGAATTATTTTATGATCCTATATATATACAGTTCAATATCAATTCGACTGAAAGGCACCACACATTTGAAAAAGTTAGACCTATTGATTTTGTATAGATCCTAAGAAATCAATTCAACTTGACTAGACATAAGTTTTCACAGATAAAGCAAATGAATAATAAATTCTATTTTTAATGGGAGTGTGAATATCAGTTTAAAGTACATCCACAACCAGATCAATAGATCATATTATCAGTATTAAAGGTTGACTAAATGATAAAATTAGCTTTTGTTGATATTAAACTATTGATGCTTGAACCATGGAAAGATATCAATAAGTGTTATATGTGTATTCTACTTTTTTAGTTAAAATTAAATTGATAAAGAGCTATTAGAGAAAAGTATTTTTTTAGAGAAATTTATTTAATCGATGGAGTGAATTAACTTTCTTTTTTTTGCGATTTTTTATAAAAAGGAATCATTTTTTGCTCTTTTTAATAAACGATTCTTTTTTCGATGCAATTGATTTGGTAGAATAGGTTTTAACATTTGAAAAATTTTCTTTCACTTGAATATTTATAAACTAAAAGCAATGTCTTTTCAATTTCTATCAGAAGTAAATTCTTAAAGGAGATCTTTTTCATTAGGTTGTTAGTCAATAGTGGTCCATAATAAGTTAGGTATGTGGCTACTTATTTGTATATCAATAATATTAGTTGATGATAATAAAAAAAAATTGTATCTCAATTTTATTCCATGTGAAATCTCGTGAACCCTATTTGAAAGCCAAGATGTGACAATCCTGAACATATCCATTTATTCGATTTAACCCTTTGGCTTCCGGTTTTTTTTTATTACAAAGAAATTTCATTTCCATTCTAAAAAACATTAATAGTTCATCTTTGTATCATACTCTTTGAAACAACCAACAATACATTGTGGTTCATTACAGTCAGAACACAAATTTCATGTTACATGTCGAAGATTATGCGATGAGTACATCACATATTTTCGTTGAACCTATTAGATATATATAATAGGGTTTAGAAGCGGAAAGAATTCACTAGATTTTGTAGAAGACATAGAACTAACTGCAGTTTCACAAAGATGTTAATTCATTTAATAGTATTAGAAAGAATAATACATACTAAATACAAAGAGAAAAACGGAAAAGAGTAGTTGTACTGAAACACCCTAAAATGACAAGAAGTACGGATGGAGTGTGCATGAGTAAAAATATCAACAGAAAGAAAGGAAAGAAGAAATATACCATAATAGCACTATCTAACAAACGATAACAAGCTTTTCTAAACAGTTTCAACATATACTGCTGCGGCCTTTACCCAATAGATACATTTACACACATATATATGTGTTGCCGGGAGCGAAAGGGTTAAATGAATTTTAATTATTGATAATCTAATTTATACATAAACTAAACTGAAAATCAATCTAAATTAATATCCCTAGCAATCATTTTTTTTTAAATTTCGTTTAACGATTTTTTCATGAGTACATTTACTATATACACGTAATCATGCTTGTCCACGTACAACTATATAAAATTTCAAATATAGAATCATATTCAAACTAACAAGAAACGAAAAAAAGTTATTAACATTAAGATACTCGATGCAAATAACCTGTGAATTATTTTTTGTACGTTATATGTTGGCAGCGTGTCCTATCGACATAGGATTTATACAAAGATATCAATTTATTACTCATCTCGTGTAGTTTCTCATGATTTCATTTCTTTTCTTTTCTCATCTCTTCTGCTTTCCCTTCATATCATTATTATTTGTTTCAGTATCGCATTTGCATATATAAATACATGTTCTGCGTATCAACGGCGCAATCGATGAGATTAATGAGTCTAATAAAGTCTAAATTTAGCTACAATATCATTTCTTCCATCGAAATCGTCAGAATCTATTTTCTTCATTTTGTAGATAAAAGTTGCAAAAAATCAATCGTCCGTAGAAATGTGGTTATGGACATGGTTTTTAAATAGATGTATATTATTATTTCAATATTTATTAATTCAATATAAAGGGTTTCGATTTAATTATGATGCAAAACATGCGATTGAACAGAAAACAAATCGTAAAACATTATTCAATATATTGAAACAAAATCAAAATACAAAAATTTAAATAGAACAACGGCGGAAAATGAATTTGGATACTATTGATACTGTAGAAAATTTTAAGTAATGTATTAAATTAATACAAGTATTCCTCGTCTATGAAATGTCTTCTTTATAGAAAATTGTTTCCAAAATATACTACATATTCTTATTATAAACCATATATTGAACAAATTAAAAGTGATGGTAGTACGAAAGATATCATGAGTATTGGCTATCCAATTGCATTAACAAATACAAGTGGAACAACTGGAGAACCAAAGAATTATCCAGTGTAAATAGCATTTTTTGTATGACATAATGAAAGAAAGCGAAAATATGTAATAATGTTTATAGCGTTTATACTTTTCCTCACATTGAAGTCCACTTTAACTTACACGATTGTTCAGACAAATGAGTTCTTGCCCTGTATATAAATGAAACTTAAAAGCTTCATATCTCACTAATTTAATGTCTGAAATCAAACCAATGCTATATTAGCTGCCACTTCTAGTGCTCAAAATCAAAAATATACTCTATTAAAATTCTTCGGTTTTTCAGAAAATCTCTAAAAACTGTAATATACTCTTTACAACTTGGATTTTCAGACTGCATACGACTCTAACGTCAGTTTTCTATTTTTCGACGAAAACTTGATCGATCCGAGAGTAACTGGAATTTTTCTTTTTTATAAGATCTATTGTCGATCAAAATTTGTCCTCTTCTCTCAATTTATTTATTTATTTATTTTTTTCATTTGGTACATAGTTATTCATTTGATTTAAATGCAATATATAATGATTGTTATATGTTGACAAAATCCGTACCATTCAATCTTTTTAATGGTTGCAAAGCAATATCATTGAATAGTTTATATTATAAAACATATATTACAAAAGATAAATTAAAAACATATAAAATTAGTGCTATAACATCAATTGCAGCAAGTGAAAAACAAAATATTGAAACAATATTAAAATTTAATCAAGACATTGTCCCATCAATTATACACAATAAAATAATAGATTCAAATGATATGTTTTTATTTATATTGTTATGGGCAGGGGTGGCGCGAGTCAACCAATATTGGGGGGGTGTAGCGAAATTTTTTGGACTAGAAAGATGAAGTCTGCAATTTTTCGGGGGGTGTAACATTGTTTTTGGTGACAAATGGAAGAAAATTTCCTGATTTTGTTGAGCAAAAAAACAAAAATTTTTGAAGATTGGGGGGGTGTCGCACCCCCGACTACCCCCCGGTCGCGCCACCCCTGGTTATGGGCATTACAATGTAAAGAATTAGAAGTGATATCATCAGTATTTATAATGGCATTAGTCAACTTTTTTACGTTTATGGAAAATAAATTCGATTTTATTTGTAAACATATTGAAATGGTTTGTATTAATACTAATTATATAATAAAACATGTATACTACGTTATGCGAGATATCACTAAAGATATGAAGTAGAAAAGATCAAGACATACTTGCGATTGTTCTCTCGTCAAATTCATTTGTTTCACTTGTTCTTCCAGGGTACAATACCAACAGATGAATCATTATCATCGCCGTTACCAATTGATGTACGTCTTGTTCTACAATCATCAGAGTATCGTTTAAAACCAAATCCTAGTCGTGCACAAGAATTAGCGGAAATTGTTAGTAAAAATGGCTTTCATCATATTAGTACACGTCTATGGCCTAATTTAAAATGTGGAATATGTATATTAAGTCAAAATTTGAAACAATTTGAATTAAAATTCCTATCAACATATTGGGATCCTATCGTACCAATCTTTCCTTTTGTTTATGGTATGAGTGAACATTATCATATTGCAGTACCATTGACAACAAATTCATATCAATTCATACCATTAGCACGATCAGTTTATTATGAATTTATTGAAGTGAAAAATGATGATCGCCATGATGATGACGATGACGATGACGATGATCAATCACCAGAATCATTAGAATTAGATCAAATTGATGGTAAAAAACAAGAGTTTCTATCTCTAACTTGATCATCTTTCTTTTTCTGTGTTATAGAAGGAAAATTATATGAAGTTGTATTAACAACCTATAATGGTTTGTATCGATATAGAACAGAAGACATTATCAAAGTAATAGGACATTATTATACATTACCAGTATGGCAGCTCTGTGGCAGGTTTGTTTAATTCTTTGAAACTTACTGTTAATAATATTTGATAACAATGTTGTCTAGAGAGAGAAACTGTAACAAGAATGCAAATTGTATGTTTTCTATTTAGACGTGGCCAATATTTATCAATTGTAACTGAACATGTCACTGAAATGAAATTACGTGAAATAATCGATTCAATCTTATTGGAATACACAGAAGAATTCACTTCTTCCACACCACAATATACTGTTTTCATTGATAAATTATCTTACATTCTAGCTATTGAAGTAGATGATGACAAAAAAGAGAATGAAGATCGACTACAACAAATTGGTAAAGAATTATGTTTAAAATTTGATCAAAAATTACAAGAATCTAATGAAGAATATAAGCGTTATCGTACTAATCAGAATATATCACTACCAATTTTACTATGGTTAAAATATAATACATTGACAACAGGTACAAGAGAATATCGTTTAAAGAAAAGTAAAGGTAGTGGTGCAAATCAATTAAAATCACAATTGATTTTAAATAATAGAAGCGAAGACGTCATCAAATTTATTAAAGAGAATAAAGTATTCGAAACAAGATAATGGGCGACGACGATTTGACACTTCTCTTATTCCAGCAATCATTATTTATTTTTTCTGTGTTGTTTTTTTTTTATCTGCTTCTATCTGATCATCCTCATCTTCTCTATATTTCATTACTTTTATGAATTAGAAATTTTGTTATTTTATATAAAAGTTTCTGGTTATTATTCTGGCTCTTCACTTCAGTCTCATATATATATATATATAAAGATCATCGAATGTTATCCTAGCTTGGTACCTTTCTCAGATGAAAATCAGCCGAAGGTATATGGGTGTGAGTACACCCCACACCCAATTCGTCGTTAAATCTAACGAATTCTACACATAAATGTACTTCTCTATCTTCATAATCAAATCTTAGTCATGTTCGATTAGATAGTAATATCACTCACTGATGCTTTTGTTCTCTTTATATTCTAGAGATATGAAGTAGCAACAGAAACGTTACTTTCAAAAATGGTGCTGAAATTATTTCTATAGTTTGTCGCTATAACTCAATCATTATTGCCGATGTTGTGAAAATATTGCACAAATCTAGTACAAAAATTTATACATTTTAATCTAATCGATGAATTCCATCACTAGTTTTAGATAGACAGCTGAAACTTTCAGAAACTAAAGATCTTTATTAGATATATATGCGGTATAAATTTTCAGCTTTATTCATCAATAAAATGTATAAAAAATATCATTAACAATTCATCGTCAGTTATTATGGCACACCCTTTATATATCAAAGAATCATGTAAGCGATTGAAAGTATCTCATGACAGATGGTGCAAATTGTATCCTCTATAGTTTACAAATGTGCATTAATATTAAGTCCTTGATCTGTAACAAAAATTTACTATCATTGACTATGATCATATCTATATCATTCACGTATGGGTCAAACGTGAAATTTGAATTCAAATATTCAAGTATTCTTTTATTATCTCTCTGGGTGAGGGTGCGTAGACATGTGTACACAAAGGGCATCTCTCTACTGAGGAATAATTGAATCCAGCTTTCACATTTGATACTATTATTAAATCTTTAGTTGAACATTTCCTACATGAACAAATATTGATATTAAAAGTTTATTACATTTCAAATCTCATAAATTCCTTTTCTTTTTCTTATTCACAATGATCAAAAGTTATCGTTTTACGTCTGATGAGGATTTTAGGATATTCTATTGAGAACTACATTTTTGTAAATAAATTTCAAAAAAATAAGAATGACATTAAAAGTAAGAGTTCACAGTTCTTCTCTTGAATAGAAAAGCACAGTTTATAATTATTTTTGATTCATTATTCTTTTATATTTTTTTTCATTTAATTTTCTTAACCTTGAAACTTTAAAAAAAATTCTATGTATTACCGTATGAATGATGTCAAATCATAATTTAGGTTTAACTAATCTTTTGATTTATTTTCAACGGAAAAACATGGATATTTCTCTAGATTAACATGCATTCGAAATATGAATATCTTCTCTTGATTAACAAACACTTAAATTCATAAAGTGAGAAGTGGATTAAACATAACAATGTTTTTGATCACAAGAAAAAGAACACTAATATTTTTTTTTCAAATTGAATTATTTACGTAAAAACTAACTAGTGGTGTTTCAATATATAAAATGTCTTCAGAAATATTTGCTTCTACGTAAGTTTTATACTTCCTGTAATGGCAAACATGAACAATACTTTCAATAGCGAAGCATCCTCCGTATATGTGGAACTTGCTGTTCCTTATCCTGTTCAGTTTTGGCTTTTTATTATCTGCAATATGTTATCAATGCAGTGTTGTTTATTCGTTCTATATTATCTTTTATTGATTCGAAATATTCGTGAATCATTGCATAATCATATAATTATAGTTTTACTCTTACTCAACTTGATTTTTGAATGCACTAATATTCCTTTTATCATTCATTACTATCGACTTAATGGTATTTAGCAAATCATACGTCCGTTTTCTCAAATTTGGTCATTTTTCAGTTTTGAAATATTTCCAACAAAAACAATTGTCTTTGCTTGGTATACTATTGAAAGACATTATACTTATTTTTCATAATCAATTGTTATTAAATACATGGAAATGATTTCTTTTGCATTATCTACCTTTAATAAATGTTTCTCTCTACGGTTTAATTTATTACAGTTTAATAATATTTTACCCATTTTGTGATTATTTATATTATCAAAATGTAAGTAAAGTTAGCGACCGATTCGAGTTTTCTTGGGACACTTCGCACAACTGAGTGTGCTAGATAGAGCTCGTCGAGCTTTATCGAATGGCATAATTATATTCCAACGAAAAATAAAGAGAAAAAAATAATTGAAAAAACAATATTTTTCACCATGGGACAAAATAAAAATAATTAGTTTTCCCCGGATTTATTCGATTAAGAATGTATGCTACCATTGAAAATTACTTCATTCGGAGCAATTCAACGAGCTCTATCCATCTATGACAATTACATTTGATTTCAAAAGCATTAAAAAACATTTCAGCCTTTAACAACCTCCCGAAACCCGATTTTCACAGGTAATTCCGAGAACGATTCGCTCTACTACGTGTGCCACATCAAAAAATGTTCGCAATCGACACGACTTGACAAGCTCTGTCGATTATTATGCATTTCATCAGTATTATGTGCTGAATGATGCCAGTAGCATACGCAGCATCCCCTACAGATCATATCAAGTAGTATCTTCTTCTGCAAAGCATTCCAACACAATGCAAGCCGGCTAAAGTCATATCAAACAACGCCTGACGAAGAGTTTTGCTTACTGGTACAGTTTTCTTTCAATTAATTGCCGTTCCATTAGTCTATGATAGGGTGTGGGTGTGGGTGTGATTAAAGAGACCCTACACTCACATCCACCCATACACCCACACCCCACACCCACACCCAAGAAGATCTTTATAAGATAAACTTCTTTTAAAACATTTCTGAAATTTCTCATAAATTGAAAGGTCGTATTGGAATTTATAATAAACTAAGTTTTACATCTGATTGTATCGAAAGTTCATTTTCAATCCCTTTTTTTGCGAAAATTCAGAGAATTGTATTTTGACGAGTGCTCAAGATTGAACAGTTCTTGAAAATCATTAAACCGAAACCTTCGCTAATAATAAAGTGTAGGAAAAAAATGTATTCATTGATAATCGATACCACTCTTTCAAAGGAAAATTAAACTATCAATCACACAAGTATGTTTTTTTTTCATCGAAATTTTCTAGATTGGCAAACTTCTTCGTCAAAAAGTTATTCTCTCTCTATGAAACAAAGTCATTTTAATTTATACTTGAGATACATGTCAATATTTCAATGTGAAAATCTTGATGATGTCAAGCGGTTAATTGCTCATTTAAAATAAGATGATAGTAATGAGTAGATCATAATCAACGGTTAAAAGTCTTTTCTTTTGTTAAGAACGCTTTCCGAAGCATTAAAAACTTTGTTTTAGACTCAATCCTTTTTTCCAAGTAACTGTTTTTGTCGGTACCAAGTTCAAACGATGAATATCTATTCATATGCTTAACTAAGGCAGTCAGAAAAAAAAGAGAAATATCTCGAACAGGTTTTGCTGAAATTTGAATTCGTATCTTTAAATGGATGTTTCCCGATTGTTGTAGATTAAGGTTTGTTTTGGAAAACATAATTTTCGAGGATGTATCTCAAAATACCACAAGATGTTTGTTCGAAGCTTTTCTATTCTGAAAAATATTTGTAAAAGAACCTGAGAAGGACTTGGAAACAGAGAATACGTAATTTTGTATTCATCGATACAAAATACTTTAATTTAAGCATAAATTTTCATTCCCTAATGAAAATAATCATCAAGCGAGTACGAATTTCCAGAGTGAGTACTCATAATCGTTTTTCACAGAATATTTAAGGAAGCACCTATGCACTATTATATACAAAAATAAAATGAAGTTACTTAGTTAACGAGAATGATGCTACTAATTGAAAAATAGAGAAAAAATTTGTTTTAATGATTGATCTATTTGATTCTCAACTTTTTGTCGAGTTATTTACACGACTAAAATCATTGGTGACTTTCAGACGGAAGAGAAAAATGATTTTTGTTTTTCATTTGTTATCTTCTTGGATAAGATTTAAGTTTTGAAAACATATTTATGTAGATTCGTATTAAGTATATTTCATCAATTTAAATTAAATTTGTCTGATTGATTGTGGAATATCGTGAGACGAGGAATCAACCAACGAATTTGTTAAAAATAATGATCGTAATATTAGACTAAGATGCGTGAATATACTATTGGCAAATGATTTTGTTTTCTATCTAGTTCTTTGTGAACTACTATTCGAATGTAAATAGTTACTAGTTTAAAGATATCTATTCCTGTTTTTTTGTAATTGTAAGCAATTTGATACGTTTATTTGTTCTCTTGTTTCTCATTATCAGTAAAACAGTTGTTATTGTTTCTTCATCATTGTATGTACTATCTTGCATCGATGTTTCATTTTATTCTTATTATTTAAGGTATAGACAAAGATTTTCTTTTGTGACTCAAGCCAGTTAGATATTTTCTTACTTATATATAATGAAAATACGATTTTTTCAATACAATGATCGAAAAAGAAAACAAATAGTCATTATAATCGTATTTTCATTTTATAAAGAGATAGGAAATAGTTTAAACTTTTTCGTAAATAGTGAAGATTTCTACGTCTATATTCTTTGCATTAAAATACATAAATCTAAAGCTAAACTTGTAGTTCTAGTTTTGATGTTTTTTTTTTCAAATTTCACTGTGCGTTATTAAGGATTTTGGTAATAAATAAAAGTTGATATAGCACAACAGTACTAACACAAATACACGCTTATGAGTATTTTATATTCACCTACAGAGTATACTGAAAAGCAGATAGGACTATTCACAAAAGATGCATTATCACACGATGAGTTCTTTCACTAGGGTTAGTAAATAATTATATAAAGAGATAAGTTCCTGTAGAAAATCGGATCAATTAGTTAAACGATTGATTAGCTATTTCTATTTTAAATTTTATATCGATCAAAAAAAAGATTGTTTAAAAAATAAACATATTAGATTTGTAGAATACGATGTTCTCTATCAAATAGCTCTAAAAACAAATCTTCATCTACTGTTGATTTATGATCATTTTTTTTAATATGAATTCTGTATTTGAAGTAGAATAAATCGATTTTAATAATAAATGACCGCCTATAATTTCCACTACTCAGTCACCATTAACATTTAGCATTATGATTTTCAATACGAATGGAATATATTCTTAGAATTATTTGTTTCTTAATTATTCTCAGTAATGAAATGGTTTTAAACGTTTATCTTTCGAGTCGTAAGTGAAACTGACCAAATCTTTTATATTGATTCATTCTCTATAATAGTTCTTTATTACAGAAAAATTTTTCAATTAGTTGATATATTGCTGATACTCGAGTTGAGCATCAATTTTCTATAAGAGTGACGCTAATTGAATTCTTTCTTTTCTCTCAATGACACAATTAAGAAAAGAAATTATTCAGAAAATATATTCAATAAGAACATGATTGCTGATTCATGTACTTGCAAAAAAAAAAAAGAAATATGACTCTTGTAGAAGTTTTGACAACAATTCGAAATAAAAGAATCAAGATAAAAAAACAGTCCATAGTCTAGTTGACATAGACAGAATAATTTATAAGTTTTCAATATTTCTAAAATTAATGTAATTTGACTTTAATATTAAAAATATTTCATGTCTAAATAACCGTAAAACGATATGATTTCTTATGTACGAAGAAAAGAGGTACATTAGCTTTTACCTTGCTGGATTTCGAGCATCAATCACAAGTATAGTCTGTCTAATGTGAACAACCTTACTGCATTTGGCCCTGTATATTGTATTATGTAGCGGAAAGTAAAAACAAGTAGTTTTTTCTTTTTCTTTTATTTTCATAGGACATTAAAGAAAAAACACAGTACATGTGACGAGAAACTACCACAAACGTTTATAAACAGATTGTACTACTCATACCAGAGATCGTTACAGGGCAGGGCAAAAATATTTTGCCCTATTATTTTTTTTTTCCAGACAGTTATTTGAAACAGGTTTTCTAGTAAATAATTTTGATATGTTGCTATTATGAGCAATTGTAATAGATATCGCCATAAACTGACTATCATAACTTTTGACATTATACCTAGTCAGAACGATATTTTATTATTATATTGGATATCATATAATCCATTTATATTTTGCATACAAACATACAGATGATTTGAAGAGAAAAAAAAAGCATTTTTCAATAATGCAGAGTTATATAAGAGAAAAATTCAGTTTTTTTTTAAGTATATTCATATATTCTTCTTCCAAATAGTTTCACACATGTACTTCATTTTGTACAGCATATTTCATATAAAAGTTTAAAACATGTCAATATTCAAGTTTCTTCAAATTTTTTAATTAAATTTTCTGCTTAGTTTCAATTATTTCATTCAGTTTTCTATCTTCGACGTTTTGATCTATTGTCATCTACTATGAGAGTTCATTCGATACTACAATGATTAAACATCAATTACTGACCGAAAAATCGAAATATCAAATAATAAAGAACGAATCTTCACCTGCTGCTACATAGTGACGAGTATTTGATTATCCAGCATAATTAAGTAATAATCAGTTAGAAAGAACTCCTGAATTTCATAGTGGTTTCAAATGTATGAGCAATCAAGTTTACAACACAATAAATGGTGAAAAATGTTTTAAAAAACATGGTGATAAATATTTTTCAGCACTGAACTCCAAAACAACATCATCATTTTCATAATCAATCACTTTTACCTATGGGTGTCATTTATCGTTTATTTTATAATAAATATAAATTATTTTGTTACAAAATTTATATTTACAAATAAGTGTAAATTATAATTTATATTTACGAATAAATGTATATTTATGTTTATTAGTGAGTATAAATTTTCGTAACAAAATAATCTATATTTATAATAAATTTAAATATAAGTTATGAGAAATTTATATTCATTATAAATATAAATTATTTATCATTTAATTTACGCGTAAATTAAATGAGAGGTAAATATAAATTGAGACCCTTATTTTTATCTCATCTACAACTTCATCGAAACAAATAACTTTGAATCGAATAGAATTAAACAAATGTTTAAAAATTTACCATCACAAGATTTTTTAAAATCATTAGATCTTTTCTAATTTAAGCTAAATTTCCAAGTTCCGGGCCGCCCTGCCCTGCCCTCAGGGCAAAAAAAAAATATTATGAATCACCATCAGAACAGAGCAGGGTAGGACATAAAAAAACTGCCCTGTGACGATCTCTGACTCATACTAACTTTATAAAAATATTATTCAAATGAGACAAAGAATATAACACGTTCCAGTTGTCTTTTATTTGATCATAGAGAATAAAAGTTGAGTATCATTATGTCTTTTTTTGTCTCTATTGATATCTAGTTCGTCGATTCCAGTTTTTTTTCAATCGTTCATTCTCGATCTATTGATTTCTTCTTTCTTTTTACAACTATATGTATCATATCATTCTTTTTTTTTTTTACAGTCACTCATTTCTAACACAATCATTCATCATGAGTGCTACACCTACTGTTAAACCTGGTGCAGGCAAAGAATTAACAGCGGAAGGTTAATTCTTCTATATTGTACAATTACTTTAACTAGAATGATTCATTATTCATTGTAGACATGGCAGTATTAAAAATTCGTTCAAAACTTAGTGAAAGCGGTAATCAAAAGTCTATTTCATTCGATATATATAGATATATATCATTTACTTATTTTTCTCGTTGTAGACATTAAAAAATTACATGCAGTAGATATAAAATATGACCAACTTTGATATACATTTATTCTCATCTTTTCCCTTACTAGGAATTCTGGCATGACAATCCGGATGGCATAATGACGAATGAAACATACGAAAAATTCTATCAGAAACAAAAGGAAGATAGCACTATACGAAACTTTCCTCGCGAGTATGTTCATACATTTATTGACTTTGTTGAACATTAAAAGAAAAGAAACAGAGTCATATCAGTATATCAATTTTACAATTCACTTGAATACATTCTATTTAAGACTCGCATTTAATCTGTTCGATTCAAATCACGATAAAAAGCTTGATTTTGTGGAATTTTTAATGGCCAATGCTTTTGCATCGGCAGAAAATAGACGTGAAGCATTAGGATATTTATTCGATATGTAAGTAGTTCTTAAAGTCATTTCTTATTTTCATAGTTAATCTACTTATTCAGGTTTGATACTTCTCTTGATGGAAGAATGGATATGACTGAATTAGCAGCTTTTAATTCGATCGTTGTAAGATAATGAGTTCTATTTAAATGATTATCTCGCGATAAAAAACCGATTTATAATATATTTTCCTAGACTACCAGTGTAAAGAAAACTCAGAATGCTTCGACGTCAGAAGCTATGAATGTTGCTGGACAAATTTTTAGTTTCATTGGTTTGAATGCTGAAAAAAAATTAACTAAAGAACAATTTATTGAAGAGTATGATTCTATTTATTGTCTTGTTTAGAAATATATATATTGATATTTCTAGATGTGAAAAAATTCCATTACTCAAAACAATGTTCAAAGTCAAGAAATAATGGTACTATCCGCTGCTTTCCTATTACAAGAGACATTTCCATAGACAAAGCGCTTTTCTTAGATTGGTATTCTTCTATATTTCCTTAATATTTACCTCGACTAATTAATTTTATTGTTTTTTTTTCACGGAGGCTGATATAAATAAAATTCATCGAACATTTTAGCGTTCTAAGGCGAAAATTGACTTGAATAGTTCCTAGTGTGTGGGTGTGAGTGTGGGTGTGGGTGTGGGTGAGGGTGGGTGTGGGTGTGTGGGTGTGGGTGTGGGGTGGGTGTGTGGGATGGGGATGGGTGTGGGTGTTTCACGTTAGAGCTACTCACACCCACAAACACACCCACCCACCCACACCCACACCCACACCCACACCCGCAGTTTAAATCATAATTCTGCTACATATCTCAGTGAGAAATCATGTTCCGACACAACTTACACTCTCAACCGACAGAATCAGTTACATTGTCAATCAACATCCATATAAAGAAGCATACTTTTACTTGTGAAGCCTATACATTTTACCTGTGCTATGTAAGAATAGGGAGAAGAAAGAATAAAATAAAATGGTGATATTATGTATATTTCTTCAACCATCGATTAACTATCTCTTCATTATTCAAGCTAGCTGATCGATAAATGATAGAACAAGCAAAAGAATGAAACGATTGTGTTGAGAAAAAAAAGCATTCTCTCTCTATAATATATGATCATTCTTTATCCCGCGTATACGGTTGAATGCACGCAAGCTAAACATTTTTTCGATATGTACATAAGCAATATAATGCTTTCATTTTCTTTATTAAACAACATCGATACACTATCAAGATATTACATTCGTCCTTGCCATATACAGGTTGATTACGTTATTTTTAATAGTTTTGTATAGTTTGCTGTATTTATGTAAAACGTCGAAAGTTTCTTATTTTAATACAGTTGGATAGAGCATCAACTGCTCTACCGAACCATATAGTTTACACTTAATTTCCTTTTGTTCTAGTCCAAAAAGATTGATAAATCTTAAAAGTACCAAAAAAAATTTTTTGCACTTTTCTGATTTCAGATAACGGGTGGAGTAGGATAAGTGGTCCTTTTTGCATTTTATTTTTGTATCATCTAATACGTTTTATTAGAAAACATAATATAGCACAAGATGCAGCGTGAAAAGCTCTTCAATCTATAAGCTAAAGCTTATTTTAATTGTACACTTTTTGTTTTCGAAAAAAGGAAAATTCTGCACGACCAGTTTTCGTCGTTGCAAGAAAAATCACTTTTTTTGCATGAATAATAGATTCGATTTCTAATTGCATATTTTTATCACCTAATATGTCTTCGTAAAAAAAAGTAAACTATACCAAAAGGTGCAACGTGAAAAGCTCTATAAAACTTGCGCAGTGAAGCTTATTGTAATTGCTTAAAAAAATTTTTAAAATGTCGTGGGACCAATTTTCGCACGAGCATAGTGTGGTGGTTCAAAAGTTTTTGTTCAGTTTGAAAACAAAAACAAAAACTATAAAACACGTTGTGTTATGTAAATTGTAGAGCTTTTCACGCTGCATCCTCTGGTGTATTCTGTTTTTTAATAAAATGTATGAGATGATACAAAAATAAAATGAAACATGCAGACATTTATTCTCCATGCGTATCTGAAATCAGAAAAGTGCAAAAAAATTTTTTTGGTATGTTTAAGATTTATCAATCTTTTTGGACTAGAACAAAAGGAAATTAAGTGTAAACTATATGGTTCGGTAGAGCAGTCGATGCTCTATCCAACTGTATTAAAATAAGAAACTTTCAACGTTTTACATAAATACAGCAAACTATACAAAACTATTAAAAATAACGTAATCAATCTGTACATTGCATTAATAGAAAAAACAACTGTAAGTCTTTTCAAATAGCAGTATCTCTCTAAAGCCCTTTTACTTTGTCAGTGTTCAGAACATTTTTCTATCCTTAAATGATACCAGTAATTAAGTATACAGGGTGGCTCAAAAGTCGGTATACTGAAAAAAAATTCAATATCTCCCTTAGAGCTCGAGCAAACAAGTTGATTTTTTTATCAATTCAAGAGGCATGTCCAAAGTTTATTTTCATAAAGAAATGCCTAGAGAGATCCTTTGTTAAGTACCACTACTGACCTCAACAAGAAAAAATTTACTTTTTCACAGTTAGAAAAAAGAGTTACTTTGTCGAAAAAAATTCAATATCTTCTGTACGGCTAGAGCTAACGAGCTGATTCTTTTAACAATGATAGAGGTATGTTCAAGCTTTATATTCATAAAGACATGCCTAGAAAGATCCTATGTTAACTATATTGTTTTCTATCCTATCTGTGAAAAAGTAAAATTATTTTGTTGAGGTCATTAATGGTACTTTATAAAGGCTCTCTCAAATATTGTCCGTATGGATTTAAAGTGTGAGCATGCTTCTATTATTGATAAAAAAATCAGCCCGTTTGCTCGAGCCATACGGGAGATATTTAATCTTTTCTTTGTATGGTCACTTTTGCGCCATATACAGGGTGGTCCAAAAATCAGCTTACCAAAATAAAAATTGAATATATCCACTGTGGCTCGAGCAAACGAGCTGATTTTTTACCAATAAAAGAGGCATGTTCAAGCTTCATATCCACAAAGACATACCTAGAGAGACCTCTGTTAAGAATACTCGTTTTTTTTCTATCTCTGAAAAAGTAAAATTTTTCTCGTTGAGATCAATAGTGGTACTTAACAAAGGGTCTCTCTAGGCATTTCTTTATGAAAATAAACTTTGGACATGCCTCTTGAATTGATAAAGAAATCAACTTGTTTGCTCGAGCTCTAAGGGCGATATTGAATTTTTTTTCGGTATACCGACTTTTGAGCCACCCTGTAGTTTCTGTCGAATTTAGAATGTAAGTGAAGTTAGCAGCCGACTCGAGTTTTTCGAAAAACGATTCACCCCATTGAGTGAGCCACACCACAGATGCAGCGAGTCAGATGCAGCTCGACGAGCTGTATCGATTGATATATTCAGATATTTTCTAAAACCTTAGTAGTTGAAATTAAAGACAAACACATTCATTATTTTCCATAGAAAAAAGTCCAAAAAATAGTTTTTCCTCTGACGATTCACTCGACGAACTGAGCTACCTTTGAAACTTATCTCATTCGATGTAGCTCAACGAGTTCTATCGATTGGTATATGTTTCACCTTCCGAAGAATAAAATGTTGAGGGTTAGGACCGCTAGAAGATTTGTAGCCAGGCTTTGGGTCCGATTTTCCTCTGACTATTTGCTCCACGAACTGAGCCACATGTGGATCTTAGCTCATTCGATGCAGGTTAACGGGCTCTATGGATCGGTATATGTTTCATTCGAAAAAGAAATAAAATTTCGGCCATTAAGGTTTCCAAAAAACTTCTAAACGGGATTTGCATGGTGGTACCTTCGACGATTTATTCTACAGCTTGACTCACTAATGAAAATGAGTAAAATTTTATTCTTATCAGAGTGAAACATATACCAATCTATAGAGCTTGTTGTGTCCTACCGAATGAGCTAAGATTCAGATGTCGCTCAGTTTATGGAGCGAATCGTCAGAGAAAAATCCGGCCTAAAAGCCTGATTACAGATCTTCTAGCGGTCCTAACCCTCAACATTTTATTCTTCGGAAGGTGAAACATATATCAATCGATAGAACTCGTTGAGCTACATCGAATGAGATAAGTTTCAGAAGTAGCTCAGTTCGTCGAGTGAATCGTCAGCGGAAAAACTTTTTTTGGACTTTTTCTATGGGAAATAATGAATGTGTTTGTCTTTAATTTCAGCTACTAAGGTTTTAGATATGGCTCACTCCATGGGATGAACCGTTTTTCGAAAAACTCGAGGTTACACATCTCTGTTGGATGATATATATATATATATATATGTTGGTGTATAAGTCATATATATCAGTTGTAGTAGAGTAATATAGTTAGTTGGATATACATAGATTGTATAATGTGCGTGTTAATATCGAGAGAGAAATAAAATCATGTACAACCAGTGACGGAATTGAGCTTGAAGAAGTATTAAACAAGGCCACCACTTAAAACTGCGTGATGCAATAACTCGGTCACCAATCTTTCTGCATCATATCCTTCGATTATTCTCAATTTTCCATTACACATGCGAACAATTAAAGTTGTAGAACTCATAATTATTAGCAATATTCAAAATTTAAAGTCGTTGAAGCTTTAAAAACTTTGGATTTCTATAAGTTTTAAGATTTACAAATTAAAATTTACAGAAAAGTTAAGTAAATTGAATTCTTTATCACTTATCTATGTACTTTTATTTGGAACTAATTGCAATTTGTAGAGTTCACTAATTGTCATAGCTTAGTTTCTTTTTCAATAACTGCAATTTGTAGAGTACGCTAGATATCTTTATTTCATTTTTCTTGTAAATAACTGCAACTTATAGACCCAGGACGAAGCTAAGCCATCGGATCCTGTCGGATGGTCTTAATACCAGCAGGATCCTATCGGAAGTAATCGGGAATCCCCTGACCTGGAATTCGACATGAAATCCGACTGGATACGAGTAAGTTTTGACCAGATTCTATCGGTTTTCGTCGGATTCCGACAAAATCCGACAAAATCCGAATCGGATTCCGGGTCACGAGAATCTTTAACCTGAAGAATTCCCTCAAAACTATTGCCAACATATTTGTAGCAAGTGCTTTTTTAAAATAATTTTAATTAATCATGACATCTAAATATGAATCCAAAAATACAGCACAGTATAGAATGAAGTATAACAAATCGTGATAGTCACACAATAATATATGAAAACCAGAAAAACCGAAAAAATCTTTTGAAATGTTTCTTTGATTCAAAAAAAAATGTTGAGTTTTGTGTAAAATATAACCATTTTTTCACACCCTTGCTCGAGGATTATTAGTACTGTTTAATTAATCATAATAACCTTTCCGTTTGATCTCACGGTTTATCATCTTTTTCAAACGTACGGATTGCAGACT